GAAGCTCATCCCGGAGTTGCTGTCATAGCAACAGGTCCGTAAGCTTAAACCTGCTCGGGAGCAGGCTTATTTCATGTAAACAGGATTAGATTGCATCTTTTTAAGCAGAATTGATACTTAACATCTGTCCACTACCACCGCTACTTTATTACAAGAGTACCCTACTAATCCAGGGACAATAATTTAAAATAATGATCATTTAAAAATGTATTTATAGATTATATAATAATGTGTAGTTTTTAATACTATAGACACAGCCAGTTTTACTCACTGAAAGATTTATTCGTCATAAAATTATTACTTCATAATTGTATTCGAGTCTATACAGATAATGTAGAGTCGTGCATTCATTTGAGTGATGACAGCTATTATGGGAGTGGCTTGATGGAGCGGGTTAGGGTTAGCCCTAACTGCATTACACTTTACCATCACAAGAGTAAATTACATTTTAAAACATTAAAATAGAGAAAAATTATTTTACATTCTAATAGCATTTCACAGTATTTCCTTTTTGTTACTGTATTTTTTGATAAAATGAATGCAGTCCTGGTGAGCATAAGAGACTCCTTTCAAAAACAAATCTTACCAACCCCAAACTTTTGAACGGTAGTGTATGTCACTGTTCGGTATGTTCAGGACTGTATACGTTCAAATACCACAACATCTGACTACAAATTTGAAGGTTAAAAAAAAGAGCCAGAACTACAAAGACTACAGTTAGAGAAATCAGGGCTGGCATTTACATGATTTTCCTGTAATAAATGGCCACGAATAGTTGCTCTGTGGGGGCATTCCAGTGTTTTCATCTTGCCAAGATGGAGTCCATCCAATGCAGGTTGTTTATGAGCTGCGGCGGAAGAGCTGTGCAGGGCAACTGTGTGTTTGAGCCCGTTGCTCTCTTTTCAGTAATTTACTTTAGTTAAATTTACTTTAGTAGTTGTTTCCTACACAATATTGACCAGCATTCACTCACACACATGCAGCTGATATTTTGATTATTAAACTCAAAGAATATAGCGTGCTTGCTATTTGACACTTTACCTTGAATAGTATTTTTAAAAATGTAACACCCAGAACTTGTCTACAGTAGACAAGATTCCGAGACGATTCCAACAAGAATGTTTAATGCTTAAAGTACCCCAATTATGGATTTTTGAAAATTACATTTCATGCAGTGTGTAATGCAGTTGTAGCCTATGTAAACAGTCTGCAAAGTTGTAAAGCTTAAAGTGCATCATAAATAAAGTTATTGTCTTTCAAAATAAAGAGTTGACTCTGAACCGCTGAAAGAGTCGTTTTAAATTCGAATCCCATTTAGCGAATTTCACACGTCACAAATTCTTACATTTGCATAATGCCCGCCAACGTTCCGCTTTTTTTTACATTTACATTTAGTCATTTAGCAGACACTTTTATCCAAAGCGACTACTGAGGACTGCGTCTCCAATCTCTGCGAGTTCACTGCGGATTCGTAAACGGGTTGTCTTTGAATTAAGATGGGTCAGTGCCCAGTTTGTTTGGAACAGTTTGGTCCTCCGAATCACAACCTGTAAGTATGATTAATAATTGTTGCTTTGATTTTCAGTCGAGCGTGCAAAATATGTAATTTTGTGCGTTGTGTTGTGTTGTGTATAGACCAATTTCAGTGTTTGCAAACAGTGATGATGTCTGGTGGCAGAAAATGAGAGTTTTAACGTAGCAGTCTATTATCATACAAAATGTAATCTTGAGTTTATATTTCAAAATTCTGACTTTTTTTCTTGCAATTCCAAGATTATATCTCACAATTCTGGTGAGAAAAATAAACTCGTCATTCTTTCTTTTTAGTTCATAATCCCACGCTTCTGGCTTTTCCCCCTCAGAATTGACAAACTCGCCATTGTTGACTTGAATAAAGTTATAAAGGCCGAACTAGGAGATATAAACTTGCATTAGCAAGAAAAAAAGTCAGAATTGTGAGATAAAATAGGTAAATGTTATGTAAAATGTTCTAGGTTTAAATAGTATTCATGCATGTATTTCAACTGTAGGGCTAATACAATATGTCCCCTATATGAATATTATATAGAGCTATTGTTTAAATCAAATTTATACTTTAAAAGCAGGGTAATCATAGCAGGTTTCATCCATAGTCTGTTTAAACGTCTGCGTTTTGCTTCAAATGGTGTCTTTGACGACAGTGTTATATACATTTTTTTAGAACAGAGTGGAGCACTATCATTATTATAATAGGATGTATTATTGACAAGCCCTATTCCAGTACTGGTGATAGGCGTTCCGTTTCCGACATGCACTGTACGAGGTCGACCAATCACAACAGACTGGGTCATCGGGACCAATCAGAGCAGAGTAACATTATGCAAAGGAGGGGTTTGGAAAGATGAATCTTCGAACAAATCTTTCGAGTCGTTGAGAAATAAAGTAAACTTAAATGCATATTATAAGAAAATGAAAGTGTTTTTTGACCTTGCATGTAAACCTGTTGTTGGGGACTCCCAAAACCAAATGATAAACATTTGCTCTTTTATCAATCCTCGTGCCTGTAAATGTAATTGTGTTGTTTAACCAGCAGGGGGCAATATTAACCTACTCGATACGACTGCACTGAAGACTCATTTAATTAACGTATTTAGGAGATAATGCAATAACTGCAACCATTTCAATTAAAGCGCATAAAGAATGAGTCTGCACAGAGAACGGACGGAGAATACACTTAAGAGGAAAAATAGCCTGCGTTATGCTCCTTTATTTGTAGAGTTTTACTCCACCTAAGTTACCACTAATAAGACTTTCGTGCGATTTGAGTCAAATATATTATAACTCCATATATGCTCTTTATCATGTCGTCTAACCTGTAAAACACGCTTTAACGCTAGTCGGCAGCCCGCAGCCTGTTGATCACAGCTTGCTTGCCTCTATCCGCATATTGCGTGCTTGTCCAACCTGGATCCGGTGTTCAACGCGGCTCAGTTGTCGAATCGGACATATTCTTTTCCGTCTCCGAAGAACGGAGGACAGGAGAAATAAAGGTCGCAGCACTGCCAAAAAAGCGGATCTCCTTCAAGATCTGGCCGTTTCCCAGAGCTGCACTCTCCTGAGCCGCTAAAAGTGCTGAGCTCGCAGCTGAAGCCAGTCTGTTCAGAAGCTGATACGCGCTCATTTCTACATAATCAGCACCACTGGATCTACCTCTGGCTGTTATCGTAGTACTATATTAAACATATACTATATATATGTGTGTTAAGGAAATATGTGTATAATTGTATGTGTCGATTGAGTAGGCTAATTCAAGAAATTCAGTTATAATGGTTAAGTGATCCTAATGCTGTTCAGTTGCTTTGTCACAATCTGTATAGTTAAAAGCGCTATATAAATAAAGGTGACTTGACTTGACTTGACTTGACTTGATCCTACTATTAGTGATACTAAGTAGGCTACTCCTCCTGGTATTGGAAGCGCTGGAATGAATGTTTGTATGTTTTTAAATAGTGTTGTGGCGTCTACATTTGTTGGTATTGTCTTAAATTTTTTGTCTTTTGTGGATATGGACCTAAGAGTCTGAAATAAAGGAATAATAAATAAGTAGCCCGTATTGTAGCGCAGTTTAACCTACGCGCCTACACAAATTAATAATAATAGATTATGTATTTGCAGAAGATATTATATACACACTACCAGTCAAAAGTTTTTGAACAGTTAATGTTTTTTAAAGAATTCTCTTCTGCTCACCAAGCCTACATTTATTTGATCCAAAATACAAAATGCAGTAATATTGTGAAATATTTGTACCTTTTAAAGTAACTGCTTTCTATTTGAATATATTTTCAAATGCAATTTATTCCTGTGAGTTCAAAGCTGATTTTTTTTTTAGCAGCATTCCTCCAGTCTTCAGTGTCACATGCATGATCCTTCAGAAATCATTCTAATATTCTGATTTGCTGCTCAAGAAACATTTATTATTATTATTATTATTGTGTTGGAAACAGCGGTGTAGAATTTTTCACAATATTACTGTTAACCGCAGGCTTGGTGAGTAGAAGAGAATTCTATAAAAACATTACAAATCTTACTGTTCAAAAACTTTTGACTGGTAGTGTATATACCATCATTATTAATCATACCAAGAGCAGTGTAACTAGAAAAAAAGCATGCATTTTCATGTTTCCATTACTTTTAAGACTTAATTTCCAGGACTTAACAATGCAGCTTTAATTCCCTTACATTTACAGGTTTTCTATGACCGTGGGAAGTACTCATAATGTTAAGCACCTTATGCGCCCTTCAGCAGCTCGAGTAAACAGTTTTTCCGCGTTATGTCCCTCAGCAGAGACAGCTCGACTCAAGTCACGCGTAAACGCTCATGGCCAATCAGCAGTAGGCTACTCGCGCTCCGCTAACCGTCTTTATCTTTCATAGCCCCGCCTCCGTCCGCAGCGCATGTATTACATCTTTTGCACATCTAAAATAATAATTTGCCTTTTACGGCTTTTTAAAACAACTATAGCGAACTAACTTACCTTTACTTTCCCTTACATTTCCTTGCATAAACTGCGCGACTCTTTTACCAGTGAAACAACACCGGAAGCGGGCGGTTAGAAGTGCGAAATAGAGTGGTTGATGGGAAGTCCGATTCATTTCCGCGAATCGGTTCTTTTGAGCGGTTCGTTTAAGCGAACCGTTTCAAAGCACAGCGATTCCTTACGTCATGACGTAATTATACCATCACGTGGTCCCAGCTTGGCATGTTACGTGCTAAATCATAGTCATATGTAGGTTATATATTATTTACCTTGTGTCCCAGATCAGTTTGTTTGCAGCTCATAAAACGAAGTAATGTAGAACTTACAATATTATTTTTTTATATAATATATATATATATATAATAGAATTTTTACATTAAAATGCTATTGTCTCTTGACAAAAAAAAGGTTTTTACGTTTTGATAAAACCATATTTTTTTGTATGTGTGTGTTGGTTAAAATATCATGCAGATTTGTTTGTAACATTTCTACTGTCCGCTTTTCAAATCAATCTAGGCTACTTTTCGCCCCCAATGCTCTTTTTTTAATGCTTTATTAATTCAATGCCACAAGAACATGAGGTATTACATATTCACATTATCACATTATCAAATTAACATTATTAGCTGCCAGAGAAATAAAAAAAGGAAGAAAATTACATAAAGTTCAATGCTTTCAGAGCGTTACATGTTTTCAATGCTTTTTTGTTTGTTCTAAGAGATTTACATATAATTTAAAGTCATTTATAAAATGTGCAAAATGTGGTTTACATTGAGCCCACTTCTTCTTATGCATATGGAATTTTCCTAACAGAATAAACAAATGTTTAATATGTTGTTCTTTACAATTCAAATTGACGTTTTCTGTATAAAAAAAGTACATCAAATATACACATTTCTATCATACACTCTATTTTTCTGTTAGTATAGAATTCCAAATCCTTCCAAAATAATCTCGAGTAAGTACAATGATAAAAAAGATGCAAAATAGTTCTTTTTCTTGACCACAAAATTCACAGGTATACGAAATATTAAGCTTAAATCGTTCCAAAACATGCTTAAGCAGGATAAATTCGATGAAGTATTTTGTAAGACACTTCCTTAATTTTGTTATTGATACAAAACTTATTTGGCAGATTCCATGCTTTAACCCAAGAGATATTACCAAATAAAGAAGACCAAAAGAATCTTGCTGCAGGTAGGGACACAGAACAAAGAGCATTCCTTATAAACTTATTGCTACACTGTTGTTTTAAAACATCAACATTTTCAATGAAAATGTTACCACAAGGATTACCCATGCTGATTTCTTCTGAGATACACTTTTTTTAAAAGTAACATCACACTCTTTCTTTCTCTTGGTTTAACTGGCAACTGGAATTTCTGAAGAAATTCAGTATACACAACAAGTACCCATGGGAATTAACTAACTGCCTTACTAAAAGAATACCTCCCTTTAACCAAGTATGATAGAATAAAGATTTGTCTTTAAATAATATGTCCTTGTTATTCCATATGAAATACCCATCGATTCTCGGTTCATTACGAAGGAATTTCTGAAGAAATTCAGTATACACAACAAGTACCCATGGGAATTAACTAACTGCCTTACTAAAAGAATACCTCCCTTTAACCAAGTATGATAGAATAAAGATTTGTCTTTAAATAATATGTCCTTGTTATTCCATATGAAATACCCATCGATTCTCGGTTCATTACGAAAAAAAAGCTTCTCGGTTCAGTGATTTGTTGACTCCAGAACTGCTCGGACCCGTTCAAGTCAGATTCGTGAAAGAATCGTTCAGAGGGATTTGGTGAAACGGTTCAGACGATTCATTAATGCGATTCGACTCAAACGAACGATAGAGACGACGAGAGAGAGGGAGAGAGAGAGAGAGAGAGAGAGAGAGAGAGAGAGAGAGAGTGATTTGTTGACTCCAGAACTGCTCGGACCCGTTCAAGTCAGATTCGTGAAAGAATCGTTCAGAGGGATTTGGTGAAACGGTTCAGACGATTCATTAATGCGATTCGACTCAAACGAACGAGAGAGAGAGAGAGAGAGAGAGAGAGAGAG